GAAGCAGCTCTTTTCTTACCTCCACACAAAACCACATACTTAGCTGGTCTGCTCCATTCGGACTGGCTTCCTTTGCTTCTCCCCGGTCTCTATGGGAGACTCCAGCCTAATCTGGGTTCATGCTGTACCTGTTCCTCACCAACATAGACGCGAGACAGTCAGCTAGCAAATTTATTTTCTAGGCTGTTTATTTTACACACAAAGGAAGTTGGAAAAGCCAGGGAAAATGCTAACATTCCCTGAAACCAACATTTTCTAAATTAATGAGGGCTTGATTATTCTGCTTCTGCACTTAACAGTTCATGTAGAGTAAATTGAAGGCAGGGGAATAACATGCTTTCTCTGCCACAAAACAATTTTCTTGAAAAGCTTCCATAGTATGAACTGGCTTTTCTGTTTTATATTGAAGGACCAGGCCTTCTCCCGTGTCAGTTTTAACTATTTGGGTGTTGACAACTTTACCAGCATTGCTGAAATTAGTACTCAGCCTTACGGAAGCTTCCGAGGGGAGGTTGGGAACTACAGCTTTCAGGTCTATCGTCGATTCCTGTCCAAAATTGAGAACCATCATAAAGACCCTGTCTAAGCCATCCAGCTCCCTCACGTACACAAAGAGGTTGCTGTCGTTCCAGACGTGGCACATCCAGCCGCGCTGCAGCGGCAGCTCCGCGGCGCGAAGGCCAGCCAGCTCCCGGTACAAGTTCAGGCTCGAGCTGGACCGGGTCTTCTGAGCCTACAACAAAATCACCACAGCCTTAACAGGGTCACTTCTTCCCACAGAACTGGTTAGTGTCCACACGCCTGTTCAGAACATACCAAGGAGAAACCAGTTTTGACCACGGCATCTCTGCCACTGTGTGGATAATTCCGCTGACAGGGGCTGGARCTCCTGCTCTGCCTTGGGACCGGGGCAAGGCAGGACAGAGCTTCACTGAGAGCTGCTGCTTCCCCCAGGGTGTCCCCCTTGCAGCAGCGGGTATGTGGCAGAAAGCCACAGCTCAGCCTTTCCCTCCCCGAGTCTGCTCTACGGAAGTCACTGGGTTTATCTGAAGTGTCTGTCTCTGGGTCTGGTCAGCACTGTAGATAAGTGGGTTGAATCCACTACTCCATTGCCTTGAACATTGTATTATTATTTTCTTACGTTAAAGATAATCCATGTTCATTTCTCGTTGCAAGGACAGTGCTTTCTATACTATTATAAATGAAAACAAGACTACATTTCAATTTAATATTAAAATCAATAAAAGGTTGTTAAAGAACCAAATTGCATCTACATTTTCTACATAACTGCAGTTGTTTCGCTAAAATGAATACAGATGAAGTAGACTCCTTGCCGYGAGTATTTCCTCTTCTAATAAAATTTGTTAGGATTCAGTGCCTTTTTATTGTCCTCCTTTGGGTTTGTTTATATTAGCCACACTGCCAATTCCCACTAAGTAAAAGAAAGCTCCATTTACAGATAGACAGACCCATTTATGACAATATTTTTAGTCCAGTGGTTGGTCACAAATAAATACCCACCTCAACATTTACACTTTCATAGTCAGGGTTAACGGGTAACCAGCTACTGTTGCCTTCAGTGAAGCCAGCGTTTAATTTGCTATCCCACTGCATGGGGGATTTCTCTGGAAAGGTCTCCTAGAGAAATATTTAAAAAAAAAAGGTGATGTTAGAACCATTATCAAAAAGTTACTTAACGGGATTATATTGAAAGCTCCTCCATTAAACCTCCCAGCTTCCACACCATCAGCACCTCGGTTTTCATTCTGCCTGTTTCAATTAAGATCTAGGAAGGACTGTGTAATCCTGCTCCAAATCTAGAGWTGCAGAGAAAACAAGAGCAGTGTCAGCCATGGCATTGGGGGAAACAAATGGGCCCTTATAGGTATAGTATATGCCATATACAGTGGGCTGGGTGTACAGTATACAGCTAGCCATAGGAGTCAACRGGGGCTGCATCCTCTCACCAGACGTGCTTGGTTGGGAGGTTGAGGCCAGCTGCGATGTTCCAATAAACACACACACCTGGGGCTAGGGAAACCAGGAGGCAACGAGTCCCAGGGAGGGAGGTGGCAACAATAAGAAAGGCCAAGCAGTAAATTTTGTTTCCTGTCTGTTGGTTTGCAGTCATAGCCCTGTCACTTGAGTAGTTACAAGAGGTAGAATTTGGGCAGCAGTTTTTACATTGGAAAGGTAAAGGGAATGTTGACACCGTGGGGAAGTGCAGAAACTACCGAAACGCTGCTCTTCCCTGGTTAAGGAGTGTCCAACTAAGACGACTGAAATTCTCATTTTGAACAGTTCAGGAAAATTTTAAAGTTTTCCCAGTTTCCGAGAAGAGCTTGCCAGATGATCTGATACTTATGAATTTAATGATAATGGAGGTTCTAAAATATTTTGTATCTACTTTGACTGTTTGTTTTCTATTTTTTTTTCTTTTTTTTTTTTCTTGTATAAAGGACACTTTCCAATAGAAACTGCCACTTTCTGAATCAGTCCCATTTGGTCAGCAGTAAGAAGAAAATGSAGATGTTTTGGCCAAGGTGTTTTTCAGAGACAGTTTTCCTAAAGTGAAGGAGCATTTCATTGCTTCTGAATGGGATGATCCTGCCCTTCTGCAAAAGCCTCTCTCCCATAGGCACCAAACTAGCTGATACTGGTGGTAGCATCATCAGGGGCTGCCTCTTCCCAGAGCAGCAGCTTTCCAATGTGGGTCAGCCCCATGCAAAAGGCAAAGCCACTTCATTTTCATCCCTTGACTTGGGATGGGTTTCTAAATACTTCTGTACTCTTAACAGCTGCAAACGTCCTGCTCCCTGTCACAACTAACCATGATTAAAGGAGTTAGGCACCTGGCTCCCAGGCCCAGCTGCCTGACACTTTTGTAGAAAGGGATCTAAAAAGTAAAAGGAAGTTCCTTTAAAATGTGTAGAGAGATTGTATTTAGTSGGTTAAACAAAAGGTTAAACATACTGAGCTGAATAAGCACAGGAACAGAGTTCATGGGCTCTTCACCTACCTCTCCTGATGCAATGTTTTCCATTCCGATTTCTTCACCGTAGTAAGTTATGGGTGTGCCAGGAAGGGTTAAAAGCAGCATGTTGAAAACATTGACATACTCCTTTCCAATCCGAGATGAAATCCGAGCGCTGCCAGGGTTTCCAACCTAAAGACGACGTGCAGTTAAACACCTTAAGAGTGTTTAAATGGCAAGGTAAATGTGAAACTAGTTTAAGACAAAAAAAAAAAAAAAAAAACCCACCCATAATTTATATAGACCAAAGAGAAAATAAATCCATTTAAACTTCCATATTGTCACACTGCCATATGAGAGAGAATTCTGGAAGTGCTGGCCTTACCGCCCAGTTTGGCCATTTTCCTGCAGGCATGTTTTTCATCCACAGGTTGACAGCTTCAAATATACTGTTACCCGACAGATTTTTCAAGTTAATTAGGTAGAAATTGAAGGGAAAATCTGTTTCTTGGATAAAAGATGTTCCATAATACATCATCGTTGCTTCAGTATCTTCCTTGTCATCAGCATCAGAACTCATAAACCTACAAGAAGTGGACAGGAACCTTCTTTCAGCTCATTCCTGGTTCGTACAGAGTTGGAGGAAGCTAGAAATGCTGTTTAACACACTTAGAAAAGAGCAGAGCTTGCCTTATGTTTGCTCCCCCACCTCAAGGATTAAGATAGAGAAGCTTATAAATATTTTGTAAAGCAGATAGTATTAAGGAAARACATTTCTTGTAGATTTTTCCCAAGAGTCAAAAAAGTCTTTAAAGATCCAATTTAAGGAATATTTTTTCTAAACCATACCCGCCTAACTTCATTTTAACAATTTCAGACTATGTATCTGATGTGAATGTATTATTAATAATAGAAAATTAAGCAGCCTCATGGGCTTTAATTACAGTGGTCCCAATGGTGGCACATTCTGCATATTCTTATACCTAGCCCATAAATATACTAGAAATATCTGGGCCAACTCACTGCACTCCTCCTTCCCCAACATGCTGGGGAGGAGACTGTACAGCCYATGCTCTGCTCTTCGCATTTGTAGAAGACAACATTGTATACGTTTTATGGCATCAAAAAAGAAGAGATTTTGCTGCTGGTGAGAGGGTGACGGACACACAGGGAGTCCCTGGCCACACTAAGCCCGACCTGTAGCGGCCGGGCTCGCTGCTGAACTGATCCATGGTGTGGCGGAAGCCACGCAGGAGGTCGTGCGTCCCCACCTGCGACGTGGTGTAGTCGTGGTAGAGCTGGGAATAGGCTGTGACATCCTCCTGGAAGAGCAACACAGCGTTCCCCATCAGCCCTGTGGGATTTGTGGAGCGTTGGCACTCTGGCTTCCTCCCGTCCTTGCAGGGGGCAAGGTGTCAGTCCCAATAATGTTGACTGACAGGAGGTCAACACCCCAAGCTTAGTGCTGAGCCTGCAACGGGGTAACTTCTCCAGGCAGGAAAASGGCCCACGAAGACCCACTTTGCGCGCTGGGGCCTTGCCAGCTTCATTCCCACCGAAAGAAGCAAGAATTCCCTCTAGCGAAAGCACCCCTCTGTCTGAGCACAAACTTAAAAAAACACCCAGTGCCAACAGCACAGATCCGAGCAGCACGTGGGTAGCTCTTGGATATGGAGGAGTTGGGCTGGCTGTTCCAGAAGCTCCCCATGAAGAAGGAAGGAGCCCGGCTCAGCGCTGAGCTACAGGCCCCGCGCGCGGCCACCGAGAGCAGGGAGGCCGCAGCCACAGGGCGGCCTGGAGAGCGGGAAAGGCGGCTGAGGCGGCCAACAGGGGCGAGCAGGTTCGTCCGGCCCGCGCCCGTTCCAGCATTCCCAGTCATTCCCAGGGCCGGCTGCCGCCGCCAGGCGCACGGCACCAGGGCAGGCAGGCAGCACCAGGCTCAGGCTCCTGCCCGTGTCCCTCACACACTGCCCAGGTAGGACGCCGTGTTTTCACTCAGCTCCCTACTAGCGATTTAGAGGAACTGTGCGACTGCTCTGGGATCTCAAGCAAGGTAGAGATCGGACCCTACTATAGCAAAAGACCTCCTCCAAAACAACTGATAAACTACTAAAACTCAAAACCCAGGTCTTACTAGACAACAAACAAAAAAAAGATAACTATTCTAGGCAGAAAGCTCAAAACAACCCTATYGGAATAGAAATAAGGATTCTCCTCCCACTCTTACAAGAGAGGCACTTCACTCCCCCTTCTTAATGCCACAGTTAAGAACTAAAGCAGTCAAAACTGTGCCCTAAGTGGAAAAAGGATAAAAAAGGGAGTGAAACGATACATTACTGGATTCTGTGACTTGTTCACTTGAGGCTCATCTCTTAGATGCGTAGCTTCAAGAAGAAATTTAACAGCRCTGAAACTAAATCCATCAATTCCTTTGCCAAGCCAGAATTTGATAATATCCTAGGCAAAAATAAAAGTYGAGAACTCCAAGTTAGCCAATCTGATTCAATACACATTCAGTTTTCTTTATTACGAGCACACTACTAGCAGATATTAATATGCAACTTATTTTTGAATTTGCACTTCAAATTTTACTAAAAATAAAGGGTGARTGTAAAGGGAGCGTTAGGGCAAGCATTCAATGATGGAGAGGTCACTAGTGGATTTCTTCAAGGATTGTCCTCGAGACCAGTCTCACTTCATGTTTTCCTCAACACCTGTGACCAAAGATGTTCCTTAAGGCACTCACAACACCCCTAGGGAGCACAGGGCCCCAGGGAGAGGCAGCCACAGGATCCATCAGACTCCAGTTGCGCRGCCCTGAGGACGACTGATAGAGAAACACACCAAAACTCAACAGGACAAAGTACCAAACACTCAAGGCTTAGGCCAGGGGACCTCCAATACAAACTGTTTCTCCCCTTTATAAAGTTGTCAGCTTTGTAGACAGACCAAAACTCTTAACTCTTCCTTATCCACAAGTCCTGGCATTCCTTTTAACTCTTATCAGCACTGCCTCACTGACCTGAAGAGGCAAACATCTCCTAGATAAAGCTAAGCATCCTGAGCCCCTATTCCACTGGCTAATTAACAGCTACTCGTGTCAACAAGGACTAACATTTCTGTCCACTCAGGTGGGTCAGATGTATTTGAGCACAAGCTGCAGGGCAAGAGACACTCGGTCCATGGTGGTTCTTCCATTACTTACTGGGCTTGATGCAACATCCAAATGCAATAAATGCCTGAATTCATTTATTCATTGCTAGTGAGACACTAGACCAATGGCAATTAATTGCTTTGGGGAAACAGTAGCCTTAGACTACTGAACTAGCAGCACCCATCTTCAAAACACATAACAGCAGTCAAAGGACCCGCTGGGGGAAGGATTTATGTTGTTGTGAAAGATTCAGCCCAGACATTTTTCCTGGTTAAGTTTGTTTAACTCTGGCCATCTTCATTTGTGGAAAAACAAAAACAAAACACAATCATATTTAATCTAGCAAAACAAAAGCTGAAAGAGGATACTATCAGAGCTGAAAAATAAACAAGCCTAAAGAGGAATAGAAAAATTAAAAAAAAAAAAAAAGAAAAAGAAAAAAAGACTAACAAAACTATTTAAGCTGAAAGATAAGTTAGGTTCATAGAGAACTACATATAAACTGTGAATTAGGTTACACTGAAAAGTAGAAGGCTCCTGCAGCATCAGCATAAAGGAATCTTAAGAGGAAAAGAGGACTCCTTTTCGGATACAATGTCCTGGTTCAAAGACCTATCGGAGATCTCATTGCCGGGTASTTGGCAGAGTAGGGGACTTAAGTCAGAAACAATGCGGAACCTTTCTAGACCTACCTTTCTACAACCCAAAATGCTTCAACAAAACCCACTGCCACTGTTTAAGAACAAATTTATTTCTGATTTTTGATTTTTTTTTTTTTTTTAATTACGGTGACCTGAAGCCATACAGCTCAATACTGGCTGAATTTTGCTTACCGCCTGAATTATGCTTACGCATTTAACGTTTGTCTAGACACTTCATTCTTCCAATTGTTTGTGCAGGCTTTAATCCTGGAATTACTTCCAACTAGACTGTCAGCTGTGTAACATAAATACTCAAATCAAGCGTAGAACCAGCTGCTTTGCTAGCAGCAGCAGCAATACCCTCTCTCCAGGGCAGCCCATAGCACGTGCCATAGGGTGCAGCGGGTACTTACGTGGATTTCTTGTTGAACAGCAGGGCTGCGAAAATTTAAGTCTGGTTGTTCTTTCCCAAACTGATGAAAATAACACTGCTTTCTCACCTCATCGAACTGCCAGCTGGAATTCCCATAGACACTCACCTGTTCACATAAGGAAAGAAAAAAATCAGAATTCACTTTAAAAAAAATATTTACTTGCTCACGTGCTTTAAGATATCGTGCATTACAAGCATAACACAAAGCACAACATGCCTAACTAACAGGCTAAATTTTGAGTCGACTTTGATGTTTATTTATATTTCTTATTTCCTTTTCTGGTGAGCTGCTCTCGCTTTCAGTGATGCTTTGCCACATCTGGTGCTTGTGGCCTGTGGATGTTTATGCATTTTGTGTTCACTTTTTTTAATATACTTTAACTAGGGACAATTAGAAATAGAACAGGAAACATGGCTGGGAAGATTTTCTTAACACTATTATTAAAAACAAGTTTCAATGTAGAACTTCTGTAATCCGATATCATCCCTATAATGCTACAACAGTCAGTATTTTAAAATGTTAATTTTTAAGTCTTCTTAAGAAAACTTTTCTGTGAGAAAAACTCCAGAAACTAAAGCTAACTCTTATGACTCTCATGACTCTAGCTAAAAACAAAACAAAAAATTGAGGCTAGCTACGACAAAACGCGCTACAGCTCTGTTAACTCCACCCTGAGTAGTTCCAGCCCACAAATTCCTCTCATACACACGCCAGGCAGGTCGGTTTCACCACAAAYTCACATATTCTGCTGCTTTTCCCAGAGGGCACCAAACTGGCAAGGGGAGAAAAGCCCGGGACAGGCTCTCCTSCCCCTACCCCGTACCAGCACCAGCTGCTGTGGCTGCAGAGGGACCAAGAGGAGCTTTTGCGAGCAGCGCACCCAGGTGCCYGGGGGGTGTCCGAGCCACCTGGGCACAATTCTTCAAAATTCTTCAAAATTTTCTCTTCAAAAGAGAAAATCTAACATTTGGAGAAAGAAGCAACAGTTTTTTGGGGGGTGATCTGGGTGTTTTTTTTAACCTCATTGAAGTAGGAACCCCTCCTCCCTGCGCCGGTTTAGACCTTCACGCAGCCAGCCTCACCAAGCAGCTCCTGCAGGCCCCTCTGAAGACTGAGTCACAGGCCAGCGTGCTCCGGGAGCACCACGCTACGGCGGCTGTTGTGACGCTGACACCCCGCACACCCGGCTGTTGTGACGCTGACACCCCGCACACCCGTCCCCACACGTACCCAGTTGTTGGGGGGCGCGAGGGAGCCGCCGGCCCGCGCGCAGTCGTGCCACACGTAGTAGTCGCGGTACTTGCCCGTCCGGTTGCGGCTCAGCTGGAACCACCTGTGCTTGTCACTGGTGTGGTTCGGTATTAAATCCATTATCAGCTTCAGCCCTTATAAATCAAGGCAGGAGGAAGGTTAAATTCAGCCCGCTAGGACGAAGTTCACGTTGGCGAGGGCAGCACCTCGGGCCCTGCCGGGGGAAGGGGCAGCGTGGGGCTGCGCCAGCACCGGGAACGGGGCACCGGGGGACAGAAGCCCCCGACTACCATCCTAACCAACACAGCTGGACCAGGGAGACCCTCTGATGACTTGCAGGATATCTGGTATATACGCTGGTATTCCCCCCCACTTCATTTCTGGGGGGTAGAAAGTGTAGAAACAAGTGAATTACTTTTTAATAATTATTTTCATCAAGGCTACAATTTTACCTCTGTCATGTATAGCTGCAATCAGGTTCTCAAAATCACTCATTGACCCAAACATGGGGTCAACRTCATAGAAATCTTCAGCTCCATATCCAAGGTCTTTTAAGGGAGACTTATAGAAAGAGGTGATCCAGATGTTTTTTATATTCAAGTATGTGATATGGTCCAGTTTTTCTTGGATACCTATTTAAAAGAAAAGGACATCACGTCTTTAGAGTAGGCACAAAAAGAAAAGGACATCATGTCTTTAGAGAAGGCACATTATTTTTGTTGGGGGAGGGGGGGGGAAAGGGTTTTTGTGGGTTCTCAAGGATGAAAGACAGATCCTTTTTCCATATAACCATCCCTGAGCTTAGGTAGCTTCACAGTCTGGAAATATCATAAGCTCACAGAATCAAGGCCGTTCAAAGCAACCTGTAAGGACAACAAAGCCAGAATTTGAAAAACATCAAACTCCAGCAGATTCCATTCTTTATTATAAGAACATTTATAATCTCATTAATTTATATTTTACATTTAGTTCTGAAAACAGACTTTTGTATTCATTAAAAAGCAACAATTGGATTACTTTCCCATTTCAAGAATTGCCAACTAATCCTCAAAGTATCCAACAGCAAGAGGGGTACAGTTTTAATGCTAAGATTCCAGTTTTTCCTGCCAGGTAAGACCATTAAGGGCATTGTACTAGCTGTGAGTTCCAGGTAAGCCTTCTCAGAGCATTCACAGGAGCTCAAAACCCCCACACCCTGAACAAAAGGAATAGTGGTGCATCTTCCTTTACTTTTACATGGCCAGTTTTATTTTTCCCTCACTCCTGTTTATGGAGAGACTGCCAGACCAGCTCGGTCGAGCCTGGACATCCTCCTGCTCGACCTTCACTCTGCAGAGACGTTCTGTTCTGATTGCAGCCTCACTGCTGATTGCTCTCAGCCCCACCTCCAAACAGTCATTCTAATGCCAGGTTTACATTTAATGAGCTGACCGAGCAGCTCCCAATGGGATCCACGGGAGATGCCATCAATGACTGCAGAGACATTTCTTCTCCTCTCCAGTCAGGTGACTTTCTCCTTTGGACAGCGTATGCATCATACATATACAAAAATGCACACATACCTACCACTACCTGTATCTACTTGCGAACACCCATATGCACAGCACACAAACTAGTAGCATCCAGCTTTGCAAGTAAAAAACGTAACTTGACCCACCTTTCAGATCACCATTCCCATCCATGTTGCTGTCCTTAAAAGAACGAGGATAGATCTGGTAAATCGGACTAGCTTGCCACCAGTCGAGGCACTTGGGCGACAGGGCGATGATTGCAATGGTGGCACACACCAGCACCACTGCCGAGGCGATTATAAGCCAGAAGAGAATCTCTCTGGTGACTCGGTAGCGGGCTTGTCTGGAGAACTTCAGCAGGACTTCCTTGGGCATCCCAGCATACGGCTCCAGAGCCGGCTCCTCCAGAGCCGCTGGGTTCACCCCAACAACGCACGTTTTTGGGACTTCTTCTTGGCCACTCGTGTTGGTCTCCTTCTCGTCAAAAGCCTCATTCTGAACAAAGCCRTTGTTCTCCACACCTCCCTTCTCACTCAGCTCCATAGGCAAGTTCTTCGCTTCCTCGTCACCCATTTCGGCTGGAACGTCTTCTGTTTCAGCTGGAACGTCTTCTGCTGGGAAGACTCGCGGCAGCAGGGCCGGGTGCCAAAACACCTTTGTTCGGTGAAACGAGAAACAATGCAATTAGCAGCTGGGTTTATAAATAATCCTGACTGGCTGATCAAAGTTCAACAGAGACAAAGGGGCAAAGTGCTCCCATTCTTTTGCATAATAAGCATCTCCAGCAAAAGAGCAAACGCAATCACATCACAGCTTCCCGAAAGGCAGCCTTATTTCTTCTACCAACTGAGCAAAGTTTGCCTTCCTGTTACCCCCTGATGCATCCTAAAACTAAACTTGCCTTGCTTTGGACAGCAGTAGGAAAATCTCAGATTTTAACAAATAAAAAAAAAAATTAATATGCAGTTTCCCAGACCAATCTTGGTCTTGCCACGGAGCACAATCAAAGTAACATTAAGGAGAAATTTAAATACCRATAGCAAGAAAAAGGTGTTGACAACTCCAGGCTCCAAAGCAACAGAACAAAATAAACAAAAGATCCAGAAGCCTCTTCGCTCTGTTTCTCATAGGTTAGAAAAACAAAATCCAAACACAAACACGTCTAGCTTGAACCCAGCCCTGCCCTGCAGTTGGGCAGCGAGGATGATGAGGGGACGCACAGCGGCTCCCGCACGGGCCGCTCCGGGCCGGGATCACTCAGCACAGGCACAGGCCAGGCCGGCGCCGGACGAGCCAAGCGCTGCCGTCCATCCACATTCCCGGAGCGCTGCCACCTGTCCACATTCCCGGCGCGTGGAGCGTCTGCGCTGCAGAGGCGGCTGCTCCAGCCTCTTTGCAAGGCGGCTTTCTTAAAAAACGGGGCACAACACCAGGGTTTAATGTCGCCCCCAAAGTGAAGACACTCTAAAAGATCTTACAGACTAAGCACGATAATCCAGAAYGCAACATTCCACCGGGTGACAAAGGTGTTATTTTCAGTAGCCGAGCCAAGAGCTAGAAGCTGCTGGAAGAGCTAGGAGATCTCTTTATCCGAGCATTTTAATCCTATTCTTCCCCTTCCTCGCAAGGGAGGCTCCCTGCACACCCCTCCCGTGCTAGCTCAGACAGGGACAGGAGATGATCACTTAACAGGGAACACCCGAGATAAGAGCAATAGTTTCAGCAGCTGTAATTCAGCACTGCCAGGGAATTCAGAGGTGGGACATTTCTCAAAAGCCTCCCTTCCAATGGTTCCACAATCTTACTACCATGGCCAGTTTAAAAAGTTTCCTGGTATGTGTGGTACTCTCATGGCATAAGCTTATCAGTACCTGATTAATTAACCTCATTACCAGAGATGCGTTGGTCTCTGCTGTGTGTCCTTATATATAATAAAACTTTCTGTGTAACACCAGCCACTTTTCTTTTCCATTTCAGTTATTCCATTTAAGAAAAATTATGTCATTTATTTCATTAAAGTAGGGCATGCTCAAATACAGAAATTTTACAACATGTCATATCCATCTTGGGGCCACAGTATTCTTCCCCTCACTTTTTCTGCAAATAAAGAGTGTCAAACACGTCCATAGTCCACAGATTCCTGCCATACCCCAAAGCCACTGCAAACATTCATGCATGGCGAGAAGCAGAGCAAGCAGAAGGCAAGAGCAAAGAACAACTTAAATCTATCCACTTACCACTTGGATAAGCTGAATAAACAGAATTTGAGGTGGTCAAATTTACAGAGAGGACTTAAGTTTGGTGGGAACTTGGGAAAACCCTGAATAAAACAGAACCAACTTGATGACACCCTCGTTATTTTCTTCTAGACTGCGCGCATGTTTTTAAGCCTTGGGCTGCACATGAGAATACACCCAGGTGCATACCCATATATATGTATATACAGAGACACACGCACATACACACGGCTGCGTCGGTGTCTGTGCCGCTCGTCTGCGCGGCGCTTGCGAGCAATCTGCCCCCCTACCACAAGAAAGGCAAGGCAAGTCTCCCAGGCCACAACCCGATGTAGGGGCAGCCCCTTGAAGGGGAAGCTTGACTCCTCTTGTGATATTTAGAGAGGCAAAGCTAACAAGGTATGTAAAAAAACCTTTCTCAAAAAGGCAGCTTGCTGTAAAGAATAAAAATCAGCTGGGAACAACACTGACGAGCAAACTGTGCTACACTTATCCATGGTACAGTGGAGGGTTTTGGCGGGAAGGGACTGTTCCTTTTGTTTTTACGTGTGTCCCAAGCCATGCTAATGTCTGTAAGAGCAGCCACCACCCTGCAAATTCCAGGTCATTTCCTAAGAGGTTAGCAGGAACAGGAAAAAATCTGGCTGCATTTGTGGGAAATCAGAACATATTCATGCTGGAAGACAACTGCATGCCAGAAAGTGAAACAGTGACCCAGGAACGGGGAAACTGTTTGGATTTTCACAGAAGGGCTGAGGTTGGAAGGGACCTCTAGAGATCATCCAGTCCAACCCCCCCGCTCCGGCAGGGACACCTAGAACACATGGCACAGGGTTGCATCCAATTGGTTTTAATGCATTTTTTCCTTCTTCCACTTCTCTCTCTAACCTTGTACCTCACACATGGAACAACAAAGCCGAGTCCAGCCATGCTGCTGGTTTGCTTGGTCTCATGCAGCGGCAGCATCAAGCAGAACTTACCCCGTCACCATCTCTTTTGAAGAGGGCACCACAAGCTGCAGGATCTCTGCACACAACATTACRTTATAGCACGGACATACAACGAGAAGGGGCAGGTGACAAAGAGCATTTGGGTAGGAGAGATGCAGCCTGGCACTTCTACTAGTCCTGGGAGGCATCTCTGGCAGTCAGTGGGACACTGACATGTGATTTATCATAGTAAATTGCAACTCAACAATACTATGCAGCCAAGACTCAAGATGCAGTTTTACATCTAATGTACCAGCGTTTCATGTGAATTTAAGGAACTCTTACCCTTGTCTTAGTCCTGCCTTACACTGCCGCCTGCCCTCGGTGAGGTGAGGTATGTAGGTGGCCATGCCATGAACCAGATCAGGAAACTGATTCAGAAGAAACCAATTTCCTTCTTCACACAGATCTACCTAATGTGCCCGGACACCAGCAGACCTCTTGAAAGCTTGTGCYAGGCTCAGGACGGCAAGGAGGGTTAGGACAGGCTGGGAGATGGAGCCAGGGAACAAGCTCTAAGCGAGCACTGATCAAAAGTGCTGAGCCAGACCACATCCGTCGTGTCTCACACTCCTGGTAGCGTATTTCTGTCCCTCCCTTCCAGCAGGGATCCTGGCCCATCACTGTGCAGAACCGGCAGCAAGGCACGGAGCAGTTCTATTGCACATCASTCACACAAGTGTGTGCACTTGTTTGTTTTTCTGGAATCAAAACCAGAGACTTTATATTTCTTCAAGGAGTTAATCTGTATCAGGGACTCAGCCCCATTCCACCCAGCGAGTATTACTGCCTAAAACACTGCTGAAATYCTGGTTCAAAGTGACTGATACGCTGCCTTCCTCCTTTTACTTTAGCTGGTATATTAATGCTGATAATCACCTGAAGGGCTGCTTGAGCTTGAACAAAAAAAAATACGGGTCAGTTACCATTAACATGCATACCTCTTACAACTGATATAAGGAAATTCAACATAAAATTGGTGAGAAGCTACTGTTGAACTCTTTACACGCACTGAGGAAGTACCTATTTTTTCCCTCCTTTGGTTCAAATACCTTCCAGCTGCAAATATTTTGTTTATGGATCCTGCCACACTATTTCCTCAAAGTAGCATCTATTGTCCTCATGCAATTCTTAAGTAATGCTAAATGCCTCTTTATACCCGAAGCAGGGCAGGCAGTGCCTTAATTGCCAARCATCCACCTGAAAACAAGAGTGTTATTCCACAGTAGCAGAAAAATGCCTAGGACGGGCACCTGGATCTCAAGTACAAGAATTCTTCTGGAAAACCCAGAGAGAAAATATTGCTGAAGAGCTTAAAACACAGCCTGGAAGGTTACCTAACGCGAGGCCTCAAGTGCAAGCCAGGAATCTAGTGCTTCCTACTCCTATATTTTTTATGTTGTAGACTCAGAATAATTGGCTTTGTGCAGTATTTCAAATTAGTTCATTTTGTTCACAGCAATACAAGTAATAAGGACTGGACAACACGCGCCCTCCTACAACTGTCTCTTTCTTGCAGAACTGTTGAAATATGATGGCCATGCTAAAGTAATGGGCAGCTTATTTGTTACCTTTACAACTACAACCAGGTATCGCAGATGTCTGCATTGCTTGTTAGCATAAGTGCTAGGCCCCACGACTGGTATATGTGAATTAGTTACAAAAGCACCCTGTTTTTACCTTTCTATTACTGTACTATTTCATTTTTACTCGTGAGGAGCAGTTTGCCTTAAAATTAGCTGATAAAACACAACTGTAAACTTCATCTTGAGAGAGGCAGATCAGCAACAACCCTCATTGAACCTCAACTTTCYCCCTTTTAAAAACATATTCTATGTATGCAGGCATTATGTTTCTGGCTTGCTCTCAAGCTAGAGAAACGGTTCCCTCCTGAGGAACTTTATAGCTGAGCAGGGATAAAGCCAGCAGAACCCACTGACAAGCACTGAACAGTAAAGAGCACCTTCGTGGTCTGTGCCGGTCGCTCTGTTTACCTTGGTGGTGGATAAGGAAACAAAACCGGCCGGTATGGGGGTAGCAAGAGCTGCTCTCTCCACACRCACTGCCATGGGCATTTCTGTCAGACGGAGGGGTTCCTTTCCACACGCGTTTCTTGGGTAACATTATTTAGATGTGCTGGCCGACTACGATGGCTGCTGTCTGAGGCTAGACAAGTGCCGGGGCGTTTGCCGTTACTCCCTAGTGTACACATTACACCAAAAGCCCCTAAAAGGGGTGATCAAGCACCCTAAGGTGATTAGTGTAGGAAGATGTTTATTTTTAAAAGTTCTCCTGCTTAATGCTGTTTCATTAAATCTTTTGTTATYACTGAAATGGGTCCGATATA